CTCATGCAAGACTTAATAAACCATACCTATCAGGAAGAATCCCATATAGGCTTTCAATATAATATTTCATCTTTCAATAATAATAAAAATATTATTTGTCTCTAGAAAAAAGTTCTCTGGCACACGGTTTTTGGGGTGCAACCACCTGTATATTGAACTTTTAAGGGTTTTTCTTAATGGCTTTTATATGGAAGTAAAAAAAAAATGATTGAACTTCTAATTCATTCATACAATAAATTTCATAATTTTCAGATTTTTTGTCATTGCTAAAAGTGAAAAAAAATATTCTTCTAATTCGACTCTTAAATCTTATAGCCATTCTTTTCCTTCCACTCCAATTAAACAGGTTAACCCACTGTTAGACATTAAAATCACTCCAGCTTAAATTGCTAAAGTCATATCTCAACTAAATTCTTCTACGGCTTGTGGTCCAGACAACATTCCTGTCATAGTCTTACAAAATTGTTTTCCAGAACTCTTCAATTCTCACTAAACTATTTAATAAGTGCTTGACTAAGTTTTGGTTTCCTGCCTGCTGAAAAATGGCATCTGTTGTTCTAATTTTCAAAAACTCCAGTGAACATTCTGATTCCTATTATTGTCAGATCAGTCTTCTTTCTGTTAAAGGTCTTTGAGGCTTTGGTAAACAAATTTTTCACTTCCGATCTTGAGTCAAACAACTTACTGTCAGATAATCAATATAGTTTTTGATCCTCTCGCTCTATGGTTGACTTGCTAACGGCTGTGACTGAAAGATTTTATAGTGCATTAGATGGAGGTGATGAGGCTAGGGCTATTGCTCTTGACATATCTAAGGCTTTTGACAAAGTTTAGCATGCTGGTCTTCTCCATAAGCTTGTTTCATATGGTGTATCTAGCAAAGTTTTTGAGATTATCTAATTGTTTCTTTCTAACCACTTTATTAAAGTCATCCTTGAAGGCCAACACTATTCTTTATTTCCAGTAACTTTTGGGGTACTTAAAGGTTCTATCCTTGGTATTGTTTTGTTTCTTATCTACATTAATGATCTTCTCGATAACCTTTCATCTAAAGTAACTCTTTTTGCTGATGACTCAACTTTATACTCCTGTCTTGACAAAAAGTCTTCTCTTTTCGATCGCTTATAAAAGGCAGCCAATCTTAAATCTCTGATCTCACTTCTGTAACAGATTGGGGCTCACAGTGGCTTGTAAATTTTAAATCCAACAAAACTCATTTATTTACTGCAAAAAACATCACAGTACATTCCTATATTAATGAATGACAACCGTCAATTTCTTAACATCTTTTGGATTATCATTTACTACTGACCTTTGATATATATAATCAATTACTAAATTAGCATCTCCCAAGGTTGCTTGCCATTTTCTCTCCTATTCCATTCTCTACCTCTAAAAATCTTTTAATAATGTTCTTTCTCTTGTAGACAAGGTCTAAAAACGCATTGTAAATGCAGTGGACCTGCTCTATTTGCTTGAGCTACTTTCCCATCATTGAAAAGTTGCATCTCTTTCTTTTTTCTACAAATACATCATCATGGTCGCTGCTTAAAGGAGCTATGATCTATGATTCCATCAACTAGAACTCATTCTCGCTTCACTCGTTATTCAGCAAAGTCTTATTCTTTTCTGTATGCTTTAAAAACTTTTATTTGTCTATTTTTTTTCCCCGCACCTCTACATTTTGGAACTCTCTCCCATCTTCAATAGTGGTTGCTTGCAACCTTGTTTAAAGTATATGGCCATATAAAAACAGTACTCTGAACAAGTAGAGCAGTAAAACAGTAATTTCACTTTTGTTAAACTTAACTTAATTCACTATGGTTATATGATTAACCAAAATACATACATTCAATATACATTTTAAAATACTAATCGCAAAATATTTCAGAAAGAGCAATAGAATTTTATAATTTTTGCATGTTTTTTTTAGAAAAATATTTATTTTGGCTGATATCTTTTTAATTTTAATATGCTTTATTAGTTGACTAATATAACTTAAATAAATACTGAATGATGGTAATTACAACAGCCTAAAGTTAAATTGTGACAGCTGGAACCCATTTTTGCTTTCACAAGATTTTTGGAAAGTGGTCTGGTACCTATTACTTTAGATAATTTGTAATCATAAAAATAAATTTTTAGCTAAAAAATAACTAAAATAAACATTAAATATTTTAAGCAGTACAAATTCTTGCAATTTAAATTATTTCTTTGTCCAATAAAAAAAAACTATACAGAAACACAGTAAACTTCCTTTTGCAACTAAATTCAAAAACTACACCACAACAACTTTTTAAAAAAAGAGATTCAAATTTTAAAGTACCAGTCGAAAATAAAACTGATTTTATTTTTTTGCATAATGATGTTTAAAAAATACATGATTTGTATACTTTGTGTGCCAAGTAGGAAACCTACTAGAATAGCTTACAATTAATGATTTTCAGTTTCACTTTACATTGTTCAACTGTTTTCATGTTTTGTTGCATATTAAATTATTGTGAGTAAATTACATATATATATATATATATATATATATATATATATATATATATATATATATATATATATATATATATATATATATATATATATATATATATATATATATATATATATATATATATATATATATATGTATATATGTATATATGTATATATGTATATATGTATATATCTATACATACATATATATATATATATATATATATATATATATATATATATATATATATATATATATATATATATATATATATATATATATATATATATATATATATATATATATATATGTATATATATATATATATATATATATATATATATATATATATATATATATATATATATATATATTATTGTGTGTAAATTATATGTAAACTATTATGTTCATGTTTTGTTTCATGTTAAATTATTATCACTATTAGATTAACTAAAAAGAATCTATCAGTGCTTTTTAATTTTTAAAATATTTTAATACTTCACTAACTTTTAAAAAAATTATACAACAAACTTGAGCTAAATAGTTTTCACTCTGTATCTGACTGTATCTCCATTCTCAATTTTTGGAGAAAAAATATGTATAAAAAGTTTTATATTAAAAAATGCCAATGAGGCAAATGGAAAAGCAACTTTCAAAACAAAAATTTATGTTTTATTTTATATACGCACAATTTTTATTTCATTCTTATGGTTAAAAAAATTATACTAATTATTAACTAGTGCAGCAATCGGAAAAATTAAACCATAGTTTATACAACTTTAATTGATTACTTTTACTATACTAATATAATTACATTGTAATTTTATCATTCAATTTGAGTGTTAAATTTAATTTAATTTTGTATATTTAATAAAAAAGTCAAAAACTAACTTTAAAAAAAATGTATGGCTAATTTTGTTATAAAGTTCTTTTTTAATAAGTTCATTTTTGAATATATTTATCTATCAAAGTTATGACATAAATTACATTACTTTACTATATAAAGTTCTTTGAATAAATTAACTTCAATAAAATAAAATCATTGATTTTTAATTTATTAGGGTAACAGAGAGCATTAAGCCCCCTGTTTGTAAGAACTTTTCTTTTCTCTCTGAAATAAGTAAACAAATATTAAATTCAAACTGGAAATATTTTTTAGTTATAGACAACACATATTTCTATATGTATGAAAACTTTATTCAGCAAAACTTAAAGTCATATATTGAAAAAAAAGCTAAAACGCCGACTCAAATTCTAAAAAATGGGGGCAAAAAACTCCTTCATGTAAAACATATTTTTAAATAATTTTTAGACACTTTTCACAGATCCAGCCCATGGCTTCACTATCAGCTCCACCTGGAATTTCTGTGCATTTAACAAGGTATCATAAGCATCACATAAGTCACAGCACACCCATTCTTCTCTTTGACCTCTGCGAATACCACACTTTAGACACAGTTTGTAATCTTCATCACTGCCCCTATTATCTCTGGCTGGAAGATTTTTTTTTGCTGTGGTCTTTTTTCTTGGATCATTATCTTTTTTTGCTGCTTCTTCTTTCAATTACTTCAAACATTCATCACCTGTTAGCCTTTCTGAATAGAGAAACATGATGGCCTACCATCCCCAGAAGTTTGCGCAAATTTGTGCAGCAGTTCCTTGAGAAAAAAAATCTTTAAATGACTTTTCTTAAAATGAAGAAGAAAATGGTGTCTGTGGTCTGCAGGTGGTGAAGATAAAGGTGATGATTGTTGTTGATGATGCCGCAGCTAACAATTATGTTGACAGCAATACACATAGTAGTAGCGCAGAAGCATTATGAACACTGTGCTGGAAAGTACTTTTAATAGTGCTTGAACTCCTGGTTAGCAGACATCTGCTTATAAATGACAGAATTGTAGGTATCTGTCATTGTCTGGCTAGTTGCATAGATTTTCCTGCCCCCTTTCTTACTTTTTTTTTTTTTTTTTTTTTGTATGTCCTAACCATTTTGCTAAACAAAGGGGGCAATAAGCTCCATTATCAAAGCTGTATTTGAAGAAAAATTTAAACTATTTCTACAAATAAATAATTTTTCTTTTCAATTTAAACTATATCTGTGTAATGTTTATAAAATTCAAACATGAATTTTATTTATCTGATCAATGTTTTAAATGTTTTAATCACCTTTTTAAACAGTTGGCATTAATAAGGGGCATTAAGCCCCTGCTAATAAAAACATTTATTTTTATAAACTAATTAAACTAATTAATATTCAACAGAACCATAGTTCTTTAAAATGCTATCCATTCAAAATATTAAATAGAAATTTAGTATTAAAGTGAATTTTAGTAGTATTTGTAAACAATCTCTAAGACATTCATTCAACTGACATTTTACTATGCTAAAATTTCATTTTATATCAGTATTTTAACTCATAGATAACATACACAGATAGTTAAAAACCTAAAAAATTGATTGAAATTTTAAAATTTTCTTAAAAAAAAAAACCAACCTAAAAATAATTCAAACTTACTTTTCCATGCATGCCAAAACCATTCTCCTAAAGCACCAAACCCCCCAAAGCTGGGTACAGAATACACTCCCCAGTGAACAAATATCCCAATTTTAGCTTTATCAAACCAACCAGGCGCAACTCTTTTATCAAGAGAATCCCAGTTTGGCAAGTATTGACAATAAATGCAGTGAAATGAAATGAATAAAGAAATAAAAGTACAAAACTTAGGTAAAATCATGACAATCAAAATTTGATTCTAACAAGAGTAGAAAATTCTATAGTTGAGTTCCTCATCAGAATAGAGCAAGTGATTAAGGCTGTGTATTTTTATGAAACTTAAAATAATTAAAAGTTTGATTTTAAATTTTAATTCGCATATATTTTGCTTTCCGGTTTAATTTTTTTTTAATTAAAAAGACGCTTTTTCTACAAACATATTACTTAGCTTAATGTTGTATTAATTTAAAAGTGTTTTTAATAATTAATAGATATTAAATATGTTAAATTTTTACGGACGCATTGGTCTTATTTAAAGAGCGATGAATCAATCATACAACTGTTGGGTTGACTAACAAGGGTTGCTAGGTTTTTTTTAGGGGACAAGCTAAAAACGAAATCAAAAAGCTAAAAACCAGAGCAAAAAAAAATCAAAATTTTTTGTTTTAAAGCCTTGTTTATGATTTATATTTTGAAAAAAATGCTTTTTTATCCACAAATTCATCTTTGAATATTAAAATTTAATTTGCAAGAGAAGGAGGGAGAAGGAGAAGAATGAGTTTGTAAATATTTAAGGGGGTGCCAGTCCAGCCTTCAAAGTAGCGTGGGTTAAGTAGTTCACTCCCAAACACCTTTACTAGAACTGATGCTGTCAAACTAAAAAATATAATTTCTTTCTCGTTTACATATGGATATAGATATCTTTTCCAACCTATGCGATAATTGACTCAATTACTTTAAAGTCTTGGTAAAAAATTTTTCGCCTTATTAAATAAGACTTGATCCAAATGACTGCATCCAAGACTTGGTTTGATTATTTCTTAGTCTGATTATTATGAAGAGGACCTGTAAAAAGACTCAACAAAATCGTTAAAATCGGAACACATAGACAGCCAATGCAGTAGGCATCTATGTTGCAGAGGTTTAAGTCTCCGGAAACTTCTAAATGTCTCACGAAGTCTAAAGGTCTCACGAAGCAGTTGAAAACTCAGCGGTGTTTTTAGAAACTTATTTTCCTTAAAAGTTTTCAGACTTTTTTAATGATGCTGAAAATTTTTGAAATGATTTTCAATTTCTTCACTATTTGTATCATGAGGAAACGGTAGATTTGAAAAGGCCTTTTCAACTTGGGAAACAACATTTATGATAGGCAGATTTTTCTCAAAAAATGTCATTTTGAATGTAAGAAGTTTCAAATTTTTTGGCAATTGAATAAAAACAACATTTTAATGACATTACAACTAAAAATTTATAACATTTTAAGAATTTTATGCACGCATTTCTTTTATTTGTTTTAAATTCGATTGTTCTTCTATAAAATGAAAAAATGGAAATCTTTCCTTCACTCAAGCTAACTTTTTTTATCAAATAAAAACTTAATTAAATCAATTTATTAATAAATAAACCAAATTTAAACCAGATTTTAAAAAACAAACCAGAAAAAAAAAAAAAATCAAAGACTTCAAAAATAAACCAGATTTAAACCAGATTTTCTAAAATAAACCAAAACAAAAATTAACCAAACAAAAAAACAAACCAGATTTGAGAAATTTTGCTTTAAAAAACACCAGATGGCAACCCTGTTGCCTAATTTTAAAGGTAAGAAGTCGTCCATAAAATACGAACGCTTTTATTTCGACCTCCCACCCCCCTCAACATTTTGCTATACGCTTTTTTCAGTACCCTCCACCTCCCTAAAAGTACCTACGTTTTTAACGTACCTACCGAACATTTTATGATATTTTGTTTAATTTAGTGTCTCCTTACTTTTACAATTAACCAACTTTTATAATTGACCATCTTATACTCGCCATTTGCAGACCCCCTCTTCTCCTCCGAGCGTACGTACGTATATGGACAATCCTTAAGCAGAAGATAGTATGGCTCGAAATAAATTTTTTAGTTTTAGACCAGATATTATACTGACTTAGAAAGAACATGTAAGGTAGTGCTACTTACATTGACTGAATTATACCTGCCGCAACCAAAACTCTCAGCTGATCCAGCAGCACTCCTTTACATGTTATCCCTAAATCATTAAATTTAGCAGCTCTCACTTACATGCTCTTCCTAGATCAGTATGATATCTGGTCTGCGTTATTTTTTTTGAAAACTCAAAACTTCTGCTATCTTCTATTCACCTGGGCAAGAACTCTTTTAGCTAAAACAAAATTTACCTCAAGTTTTAAATTATATTTATTTAATTTTGAACAGTATTAAAAATACATACCGGAGTAAGCGTAATTATTAAAGTCGATCAAAAAATCAGTCGATCAAAAGTACAGCAGGTTGAGTCAATCGAAAGTAGATTTGTTCAATCGAAATTTCAGTATGTTGAAAATTCGGTAGTGCGCGCTATATTTTGATTTATATATAAAAGTGCGAAAGTTGTTAGTTTAAAACCAAAATTGTTTGTCTAATATTTTGAAAAAATTGCCATGAGTGAGTGTGAGAACAAAAAAGCTCCATAATCCCCCTCCCCCCGCGCGCCTTTCTGCCTCTGACGTTAGAGCAATAAGTTGATAAAATATTTTTTTTTACTATTCTAAATTAAATTTATATTGATCGATAAATTTTAAACTTCATGGTATTCACGGTAAACTTCATGCATATCGAAAAAACAGTTTTATTTTTAAATACATGATTACATGTCTTTAAAAAAAAAAACTGTTTCTATAATTTGCAATCATCTTATTCAATATGGTATTTTTGTTCTGTGAGAGTGCTTTTATTAAACTTTTGGCTACAAAGAGAAATAACTTATATTGAAAATAATTTATTATTTTTAGTACAAACAATAGGACACTTGTGTTACGAAAGAGCATAATTTTTTGTTGAAACATCTTGAACTGGTTAAAGATATTCACAAAATCTTTACTCGAAAAAACTTATGTTTTCAACGTTTACAAAAGCTATTAGATAATCGGTATTGTGTAAGTCAATACCGAGTAAAGATGGTCTTGTATCGTGTGGGGTATCCTTTATATATTCAAGCAGCCGTGGCGCAGTGGCAGTGCACTTGCCTCAGAAACGTAAGATCCGTGGTTCAAACCCCACCTCAGGGCAAGTTTTGCGACATCGGTTGGGAAGGAGGCGTGAACTTCCTATTAAATGCTCTTTCGCGGCGCTATGCGATAAGACCGTAAGGACTTCTTGGGGCACCTTAATCAACTTAATAAAAATAATAATAATTAAAAAAAATGGCTACATCATCAGTATTGGTTCGATACCATACAATCCCAATTATAAAAAGGCATGGTATCGAATGGTCATATAGTTTCATTTGATATGAATCACGAAAAAAAATTAAAATGTTAATTTTTGAATTTATTCATGGTATTAGCCAAAGGAGTACCGGAATGGAAATTTGAAATTCGGCCAGAATCGGGTTCGCCGGAACTGTCAATAAAATTCCGGCTGGATTTCCGGTTGGAACGTGAATTATATTTATGTTATTTTTTAACTTCAAGATTAAAGTGAAAGCCTGCATCTCAGCATTGTGGGTATATTAAATATATTTATAACTTATATATCAGGCCTTGTTAAGAAGCGTTACGCAGCTCGCATTTTGCCTGCGAAAAAGCGATTTGCCTACGCGTTCAGCAGTTATTACGCAAAAACTTTCTTTATCTTTTAGATTTATTTAAATTATCTTTTTATATCGTTTATGTGACGTTCATTCAGAAGTATTAAAGTCGTAAGTAAAAGCATTTAGCCGCAATTGTAAACTAATAGATTTTTTGTTAAAGAAACAATTTGTTTAATAATTTTTTTTTTTTTTTTTTTAAATTACTTAAAGAAAATAAAGTGTTTTGAGTTTAAACTTTTCATCATATTTAATTTTAAATATTAGATTTCATAAGTTTAAAAACATTACTTTCAATTTATTTTATTAAATTTAAACATTTTTTTATTAACCATATTTTTTAGTAAATAAATTTATTAAATTTAATTAAAATTCTTTTATTTAATTTTAAACAGCATTTTAAAATTTTTTAATTTTAAAATGCTCCGTTTTACAATTTTTTTTTATGATAAAATTTCCAAAGTAAAAAAAGACTTAATAAATTTAATTCAAGTTTCTTTAAAATATTCGTATTACATATAACTTTATTTTAATTTCAGTTAAGTTTCAGGTAAGTTCCAGTTCCAAATACTGGTCTGAATAATACGCTGAACAAAAGGGCATTATGTTCCAGTTTTTATTTTTCCTTTATTTTACAGTTTCATTCATTATTTACAGAAGCGCGTTATTCGTTTTCTAACTACAAGTTAATAGATAAGTCAATACAAAAAAGTTCTTTTAAACTCGAGTTATAAATATTATGTTTGGGTTTTCCCTTAGCCGTTTGCCAAAGAACTTTTTTATAAAACAAACCAAAGTTCAAACCTATTAAATATAACGCGATCAATAAATAAACTCTTTAAAAGCCTAACTTATATGTATTTTATTTTTAAAACAAAATTAGTACTAGAGCTATAAATATAAGATACATAAATTTCAAAATTATAATATTTTTTAAAAACAAATTCTGCTTATAACATCTTAAAACACTATTTTTTTTTTTTTTTTTTTTGGATTGAGTAAAAAAATAGTAAAAATACATTAGGTTTCACTGTACATAAAAATAAAATATTTTAATGAAAATAAAAAAAAAACAAAGCCGAAAAGCAGTAAATTTCGTTTCTTTACAATTTTTATTTTATCAAAGCAAACGTTTTTTTAAAAAGGGGAAAACCCAATTTATGCGTTTAGTTGTAAGTACATTTAAAAGTGTTAAATTTAAATTAAATTATTTAAAAAAAAAAATATTAAAAAAAAAAACAAGCATAAATCGAATGTTTGAAAGCAAAAAAAATAATGTTTAAATAAGTGTAAGATTTTAATACAAAAAGCCTTTTTTTTTAATTAACATTAAAACTTTAGTTTTTTTTATAACAATATTGTTCAATTTAAAGTTGAAAATGGTTTTTATTGTCATTTTAAATTTAATTACAATGAAGTAAAAACGTAACTGACGTAATTTAACTTTTAACAATGTAAATATCTTTATTCAGTAAAGTTACATTTATTCGCGTCTGGCTTTTCCGTTACGCCGCGAAATCTCGTAACAAGGCCTGTTATATTAAACTTATTTTATTAATTTGATTCTTTTTCATTTAAACCTAATATGTTGTTTTTATTTGTTTTTATAATT